AGGTGTTCATCAAATGAAAAAGTTGTTTTTCATGAAAGTTGTAGATATTTTCATTCTCTAAATGATGGAATTTGAATCGAATGATTTGGTTAAGTATGTGAAGAGAGATGATCAAAACGGTGAGACGGTGCCAATTTATATCTCAACTGCGAACGTCAACCATCATTGAGCAATATGTCCACTCTAAGGACATATTTTTGAATCATGTTCTTCATAAAAGTTGTCGATACGTTATGGTTAGATATAATGAAACTCTCATGAGTATTATTGGACCATCATACACAAAGAAATGATAACAATACGAGTACGAGTTGTACGAAGTTCCAGAAACGTAGCAAAAGTAGCCTTAGAAGCGATCTCTTCAACCTTCTTTGCAGCTCTTTGCTTATAAGAACAAAAAATGGATCCGGTATGTTAGAGAGGTGTCTTACATGGCTTATAAATGTAGGAACGCTAAAGAATAATGGGAGAAGTGCAAGGATCCTTATCGATACGGGAGAACGACATTCATTCGTTAATGAGGTGTTTGCCAAGGGGTTAGGCACACCTTTAATACCAATGACGCAAACCCTTTTGGTGTCTACGCCTCTAGGGGATGACGTTGCACGGAATGACTACTATCCTTCATGTGATGTGGAGATAGGGGAGCACCGTCTAACGGGTGACTTTGTACCGTTAGATATGCTCGAGTTTGATGCAATACTTGGCATGGACTGGCTTGAAAAACACCATGCGAAGGTATATTGCTACACTAAAGTGTTAGAACTCAAGGATGGTGAAGGAAATACTCTATGTTTCGAGGGAGATAGAGGAAAATTCAAACCTTGCATCATATCGGCCTTAAGAGCAAAGCGTATGATGAGGAAGGGATGTCAAGCTTACTTAGCCTATGTCACAGGCAAGGAAGGCAAGGGGAGGAGTCTCACAGAAGTGAGGGTGGTGAATGAGTATCCGGAGGTGTTCCCTGAAGAACTACCGGGACTTCCACCAGATCGAGAGATTGAGTTTGTGATTGAAGTAGAATCGGGCACGAAACCTATCTCGATCCCTCCATACCGAATGGCACCGGCCGAACTTCAAGAGTTGAAGGTTAAACTAGAAGAACTACTAGATAACGGCTTCATTAGGCCGAGCCATTCACCATGGGGAGCACCTGTACTATTTGTAAAGAAGAAGGATGGTACACTCAGAATGTGTATCGACTACCGTCAGTTGAACAAGGTCACGATAAAGAACAAATATCCTTTGCCAAGGATCGATGACTTGTTTGATCAACTACGGGGGGGCAACAGTGTTCTCTAAGATCGACTTGAGGTCGGGTTACCATCAATTGAAGATCAAGGAAAGTGACATACCCAAGAGTACATTTCGTACAAGGTATGGTCACTACGAGTTCCTTGTAATGTCGTTTGGGCTCACAAATGCCCCCCTCGACATTCATGGACCTCATGAACCGAGTGTTTCACCGATACCTGGATCAATTTGTGATAGTATTCATTGATGATATCTTGGTGTATTCCAAGAATGAAGAAGAGCATGAGGGACACCTAAGGCTTGTGCTTGAGACGCTTCGAGACAAGCAACTCTTTGCCAAATTTTCTAAATGTGAATTTTGGCTTAGGGAGATCGGCTTCCTTGGGCATGTGATATCGGGTTCGGGTGTCTCAGTTGACAACTCCAAGATTGAAGTGGTCACTAATTGGGAGAGGCCCAAGAAAGTGAAAGAAATCTTGAGTTTTCTCGGTTTAGCATGGTATTACCGCAAATTTGTGGAGAAGTTCTCGGTGATAGCATCTCCACTCACAAAGCTCACTAAAAAGGGGGCTAAGTTTGTGTGTGATGACAAGTGTGAGAAGGGATTTCTTGAACTAAAGAAACGTTTGACTGAAGCACCAGTGCTTGCTCTACCCGTGCAAGGGTTAGGGTATGACATCTACAGTGATGCTAGCATCCAGGGGCTTAGATGTGTACTAATGCAATCAGGGAAGGTGATTGCTTATGCTTCTCGACAGTTGAGAAAGCATGAAGTAAATTACCCCACACACGATCTAGAGCTAGGAGGTGTGGTATTTGCATTGAAAATTTGGAGGCACTACCTCTACGGAGAGTAGTGTCACATCTATACTGACCACAAGAGTTTGAAGTATGTGTTCACTCAGAAAGAGTTGAACATGAGACAGAGAAGGTGGATGGAGTTGATCAAGGATTACAACTTGATCATTGACTATCATCCGGACAAGGCTAATGTAGTAGCCGATGCACTGAGCAGGAAGAGCTCATCATCAGGGGTTTTACTCACATGCTTACGTGCATTGAGGGCACGTGTGGAGGTATCCACAGACGAGGCCTTGTTGGCCAGATTTGAGGTGAGACCCACCTTACTGGAGGAGATCAAGACACGTCAGGGCACCGACGAGGAACTACATAAAGTACGAGGACAGATGCTTGCGGGGCCCGTGGAGGGTTTCCGAGAGAGAGAAGATGGACTTATACTATTCAAGGCATGAGTGTGTGTGCCATCAGATGAGGAGCTCCGAAAGTCTATCCTGGAGGAGGCTCATTCATCTGCTTATGCCATGCACCCGGGCAGTACAAAGATGTATCAGGACTTGAAAGAAAGTTACTGGTGGTCGGGGATGAAGAGAGAGATTGCAGAATATGTAAGTCGTTGCCTTACCTGTCAGCAGGTTAAGGCAGAGCACCAGCACCCAGCGGGGTTGTTACAGCCACTTACCATCCCAGAATGGAAGTGGGAACACATTACTATGGACTTTGTGGTGGGACTGCCACGTACAGTTAGAAACCATGATGCGGTATGGGTAATAGTTGATAGACTGACCAAAAGTGCTCATTTTCTCCCTATCAACACTACCTATACGCTTGAACGACTAGCCAAGTTGTACACAGATGAGATTGTGAGACTGCATGGGGTTCCGGTTACTATAGTATCAGATAGAGACCCACGGTTCACATCACGGATTTGGCCTAAGTTTCAGGAATCCATGGGTACGAAGTTGAAGTTTAGCATCGCTATTCATCCTCAAACGGATGGGCATTCTGAACGTGTGATTCAGATTTTGAAGGACATGTTGAGAGCATGTGCCTTGGAGTTCCAGGGGAGCTGGGACAATCAGTTGGATTTGGTGGAATTCGCCTATAACAACAGTTATCAGGCGAGTATAGGCATGCCTCCATACGAAGCATTGTATGGGAGGAAATGTCGAACACCTTTATGCTGGGATGAGGTCGGCGAGGCTAAGCTTGAGGGAACCAAGCTAGTTGAGATCGCCAAGGAGAAGGTGAAGGTTATTCAGGATAGGCTTAAGGCTGCCCAAGACCGGCAGAAGAGCTATGCTGATAAACGTCGGAGGGCATTGGAGTTTGAGGTCGGTGATGAGGTATTTCTGAGGGTGTCACCTTGGAAGGGGATCATTAGGTTCCTCAGTCGAGGTAAGCTTAACCCACGTTACATAGGTCCATTCAATATCCTTGAAAGGATCGGGGTAAGGTTGGATACCCGACCGGGTATTGGGTTATGCTCAAAACGGGCATTTTGAGTAGGTTAACGTGGGCCGTTCAGGTGGGACCCGTCCACGTTGGTTACTAAGGATGTTTATATGACTATAGGGCCAGGTATTTTCCATAGTTAAGGGAATGAAAGGTTATCCATATCCAGGTTAGGGTTTGGTAAGGAAGGAAAAGGGGCAAATAAGCCCACGTACTAACCAAAAAAGGTCAAATAAGCCCTTATATAGGAGGCTATGTCCGGCCGTCGTCATTTGGGACTATTCCCGGTGATAATTTTTTATGCAATTTTTTGAGCATATTATTCATTAAGTCTAGTTTAATCATACCAAATTTCAGCTAAAAGTTCAATCGGGAAGACATTCAAATGAATTCTTGAAGATAACTGCGCAGTTAAAAGCGCAGTTATATTCAAGAATTTATTTGAATGCCTTCCCAATTGAATTGTTATCTGAAATTTGATATGAGTAAACTAGACTTAATGAATAAGATTCTTAAAAACAGTCATCAAAAAATTCCACTGGGAACTGCCTCAAATCGCGGCGGTGGGACAGAACCTCCTATAGAAGGGCTTATTTGACCTTTTTTGTTAGTACGTGGGCTTATTTGCCCTTTTTTCCGGTAAGGAATAAGGTTGGGGTTGAGCATCCCCGGGATGGTAAATGATCCTGAAACTCGGTTGGGGTTGAGCATCCCCGGGACGGTAAATGATCCTGAAACTCGGTTGGGGTTGAGTGCCCTTGGACGGTAAATGATCCTAAATACTCCAGGTTGGGTTGAGTGCCTTGGACGGTAAATGATCCTAAAAAACTCGGTAGTATGAATCTAAGGTAGACTATAGCTTGTGAGCTAGGCATCCGTGAAAGGAGTGAGAAAAGTCAGGAAAGAACTTTATCTCTAAAAGACTCTTTAAGGTAAACGACCTACGAGTTAAGTATTTTACACGTATATATACAGTGTGTATCATCGGGTGGATGAGTTACAACTATATATATGTATCACCCTATTTTTGGGTCTCGTGTCTGAAACATTACTTATTCTTCATATAGCCTGCTTGTCACTAGTACTTCTTTCTGTGAAGTACTGACCCCTTCGAGGGCCCTCACTATTTTTCAGGTTAAGGCTAGAGTCCTACTACCTGCACCTTCGCCTAGGGTGATCATCAAATAAAGAAGACTTGGTTCGTGCTTCCATTCTTATTTTCAAATATGGAATTTGCTCATGGATATTTTTAAACAATGTTTTCTATTCAAACATTTGGGGGCCTGCGTGCCCGTGTCTGCCACGTGTGGCTAAGTATCAAACATTCTACTTCTGCATTTGTTTGATTATGATATCGATGTTGATTATATGTGTTTACTAATCGGTTTGGCGATAGAATCTATCGGACGCCTTGTATGATTCGATAAGGATGAACTAATGTTGTCCTTATCGGGTTGTACGACGGTGGTCTACGTGGCTCGGATGCGGTCTGGGCGTGACATGTTTTGATTGATGTTAGGGATTTAAAACATTCCTGTGAGATTTGGGAACGGTTAGAGTCTAGATTCATGTCTGCCAGTTTAGCCAGATCTATGGAATTAAAGCGGTTATTGTCCCAAATTAAAAAGAAACCTGATCAGTCAATGGACAGTTATTTAAGGGAAATTAAAATTTTAGTGGATGATCTTGCTACAATCAATTGTCCGGTTCCACCTCGGGAAGTGCTGAAAACTACCATTATGGGTTTAGGACCTGAATATGAATCTTTATTCACCACCGTTTCATTATTTCCCCAAAATTTCCCTTTTGAGAGCCTTCGCAACCATCTTCTGGAACAAGAGCAGCGGGGTCCTTTATATACGCTCCCAGGAATACTCCTCCATTCATCACGCCTTTGGTGCGCTCACTCCACCTTCTGGACAGCCGCACGCACAGCAGGGAGTACCGCGGCAGCCAGCGTCTTCCACTGGTGGACCGCAGCAGTCACACCAACCCAGCCAACAGCAGCGCGGGAGAGGCCGCGGCCGTGGCAGAGGTCGCGGTGGGCGTGGGCGTGGACGCGGACAGTACCCAGCACAGTACGGCCAGTAGGGGTACTGGTATCCGCCGCAGGGTCCGTCCATTTATCACCCGGGAGGGGGTGTTCTGCCGGTTCCACATGCAGGGGGTGTGACATCTACGGGTACTGTTTTTTGTAATTCTGCTATGTCAACTTATAATATTAATGCCTTACTTGTTTGTGCTACTAACATTAGTTCTGCAGGCTTACCATCAGATGGGGGTATTCTTGGTTCTGTTCTGCATCCTGTTGTGTGTCAAATTTGTTTTTCTGCAGGTCACTCTGCTATCACTTGTTCCTCTCGTTTCACACAGCCCTCTGTTCCTGCTTTGTTGACTACTCCTGGGGAAACTAATCCCGCTTTATGGTATCCTGATTCGGGAGCTTCTGCTCACATGACTGCGTCCGAAGGTAATTTAATTAATAAATCCCCCTACAATGGCTATAATTCTGTTAGTGTTGCTAATGGTGCCCATCTTCCCATATGTCATGTTGGTGATGTTGCCTTACCTTCTTCTGGTTGTCCTCTCACATTAAAGTCTATTTATCATGTGCCTCAATTAAAATACAATTTAATTTCCATTCAAAGACTTTGTGCGGATAATAACTGTACTGTTGTTTTTGATAAAAATTCTTTTTTGATTAAGGACAAAGCCTCGGGGGCGATACTTCTGCGAGCTACCAGTAGTGGACCACTTTATCCTATCACTTTGCCGTCTTCTCCATCATTAGTTTTAGCTTTCGTTTTAGCTTCTGGCCCTGTGTGGCACCGTAGACTAGGTCACTGTGGTGACAATATTTTACAATTTCTTAAACGAAAAAGATTTTTATGTAGTCATTCTCCTTTTATTCATGAGTGTGTTGCTTGTCGTTTAGGAAAATCACAACGATTACCCTTTATGGATGCCTATCATATTTCCTCTTTTCCTTTAGAAATTATTCATTATGATGTGTGGCAATCTCTTATTTGTTCAAATTTGGGCTTCAAGTATTATGCATGCTTTATTGATGATTTTCCCCGTTATACTTGGATTTTTCCTATGCGCCACAAGAGTGAGGTTTTTCTCCACTTTAAAATTTTAAGGCTTTAGTTGAAAATCTTTTTAATCAGAAAATTAAAATTTTTCAGAGTGACGGGAGTGGTGAGTTTGTTAATAATAATATGCAGCAATTTTTCTCCGCTAATGATATTTATTTTCAAAAATCTTGTCCTGATACTCCCCAACAAAACGGGGTTGCTGAAAGGAAGCATCGTCATCTCCTTGAGCTCACTCGAACAATGCTGCTTGAAGCCTCTGTTCCAAGTCAGTTTTGGGTTGATGCAATTTTTACCGCTGCATATATTATTAATAGATTACCTTCCCCTAGCTTACAAGGTCTTTCTCCATACCAAAAACATTTTCAACGTGTTCCGGACTACTCTTTAATGCGCATTTTTGGCTCTGCCTGCTATCCAATTTGTTCGGCCACGTCGGCTAACAAACTGTCAACTCGTTCTGTTCAATGTGTTTTTCTTGGTTATGCATCCAGATATAAGGGCTATCGTTGTTTTGATCCTAACACAGGTCATGTCTATATCAGTCGCCATGTTAGGTTCCATGAGGATACTTACCCTTTTCAGTCACCCAAACGAACTCACACTCCTCCACAAAACAACTCCACCCCTTTTCCCATGCATCTCACCGATATTCCCTCTCCACCGCCTGCACTGTCTTCATCCCGACGTGACCCACCCAACCAGCCATCCCCTGCATCTCCACTACATTCGAACCCTCACCTGTCTGCCTCTCAGTCACCCAACCCGACGCCTTCGACACCTTGTTCCACTCCTTCGACACCTTCGTCCTCTTCCTCTCTTATCTCTGCTGATAGGACCACACCAGACATTCTTGCATCCTCTTATTCCCCTCCAACCGAACCCACTTCCCCCTCATCTACCTCGGGTGTGCCCACTACTGTAGTGAATAATTATCCCATGCAAACCCGAGCTAAAGCAGATATTTTTAAACCAAAAACGATTTTTACTTTGAGTACAATTGTAACTTCTGCAGATCCTACTTGTTTTACTGAGGCAAATAAACACTTAAAATGGCGGGAAGCGATGGCTCATGAATTTAATGAGCTAATTAACAATCATACTTGGGAACTGGTGCCCTTTGACAATACTAAGAATATAGTTGGTTGTAAGTGGATCTATAAAACAAAATACCATTCCGATGGGTCAGTAGAACGTCATGAAGCTCGATTAGTAGCTCAAGGATTTAATCAACAGACAGGTATTGACTTTTCTGAAACCTTTAGTCCTGTCATTGAACCTACTACAGTTCGTGTCGTCCTTACTCTGGCTGTTTCTTTTGGTTGGGTCATTAGATAACTTGATGTTAAAAATGCCTTTTTACATGGTCATCTAACCGAAGAGGTGTATATGCGTCATCCCCGTGGTTTCACTCATCCTCAGTTTCCTAATCATATATGTCGCTTGCGTAAGGCCATTTATGGACTCAAACAAGCTCCACGGGCTTGGATTCATAGATTTAGTAGCTTTCTCTTACAACATAATTTTGTCAGCAGTAAGTCTGATAATTCCTTATTCATTTATCGCCAGAATAATACTATTATTTATTTATTACTATATGTAGATGATATTATTATTACTGGCAATTCTGCATCTACCATTACCCAATTTATTTCTATTATTTCTAATCACTTTGCTATGAAGGATCTGGGTAATCTTCATTATTTCTTGGGCATAGAGGCTACTTGCCTCTCTAAAGGTTTGTTTCTTTCTCAAAACAAGTATGTTTCTGATCTTCTAGCCCGGTTTCATCTCCATACAGTTAAACCTGTTCGCACACCATTAGCTTCCCGTACCACTCTGTCTCTATCTGATGGTGAGTTACTTTCGGACTCTACTGAGTATCGCAACATGGTTGATGTGCTATAATATTTAACTTTGACACGGCCAGATATTACTTATGCAGTACACTCAGTGTCTCAATTCATGCATGCCCCTCGTACTACTCATTTGTTTGCAGTCAAGAGAATTTTCAGGTATTTACAGGGTACATGAGATCATGGATTATGGCTTCAGCAGACTAACCAGCCCACTTGTGTTCTTGCTTATTCTGATGCTGATTGGGCTGGTTGTCCAGATAGCTCTCGGTCTACAACAAGTTTTGTGGTATTTTTGGGCCTTAATTTGGTTTCTTGGAAGTCTAAAAAGCAGCCTACGATGTCCAAGTCATCTACAGAAGCAGAGTACCGTGCCATTGCTTACACCGTCCAGGATACACTTCACATTCGTTCGATTCTGTTTGAACTCGGGTACCCCATCACGGAAGCCGTACATCTGTTATGTGATAACGTTTCTGCATCCTATCTGATTGCAAACCCTATTCAGCATGCCTGAAGTAAACACATCCAGATAGACTATCACTTTGTTCGTGAACGTGTGGCTCATGGAGATCTGATTGTTAAACATGTTCCTACTCATTTACAGTTGGCAGATATTTTTACTAAGAGTCTCCCTACTCAACGTTTTCATTTTTTGAAGGACAACATGCGCATTGTTTCTCCCGCACAGCTTGAGGGGGTGTAATAGAATTATTATTAGATCAGTATTGTACTTTACATTAAACTCTCATTTAATATAAATATATCTGCCATGGCTCCTTAGAGAGTATCTTGTTCCATTATTCTCACACTATCAACCGTGTTCTGTAATTGGTTGTCCCATGCTTTAGATATTTGAACTCGGTGTATATAATTATTAAGTTGAAGTCTATGCACATTCTCTACCCACACCATGTTCATGTTCTTTTAAGTGAAATAAATACTCCCAACTCCCAAGTGTGCTCGTGCTTCAGATAGGTTTTACTTAAACCTTTGAACTCTGTATTTATATTAAGTTGATCTTTAATCCATTCTATCAATTCGTTTATCCCAATAATCTATGTAACTTGAATAAAAGCAAAACAAATATCTTAGATGCTAGAAGCTACATATTGCAGTACATGTTTGGTAAGAAATATCTCACAGAATACTTAACTCCTGATTTTCTAAAGGAAGAAGTGTTGCCCCCATAAGTCCATAACCCCATGGCATCCAACTAACTCTTTAAGCCCGTTTAATAACCTGACTCAGTTTATTCTAATAATTACCAAATAATTAGATTAAGAAGCTTTTCATTTACTTATTTGAGTCGTTGACTCAAAAGCATTTTATAAGTCCTTATTTCTCTAGAAAAATCGAACTCAACCGCTTTCACATTGCTATCACTTATTCTAATTCTTTGCATATTCAGCTATTAAATAAAATAAGCCTCCCTTTTGGGTGACAAGCAGAACATATGTAAGATGTAAAGGATTCAATTTATTTATTCTACATTTAGTACACAAACCAATAAATTAGCGATAAAATTTCCTCTTTCATACGTAGTACTTTTGGGTAGAATAACCCGATTCATTTTAGATTAAGAAGCTTTTCATTTACTTATTTGAGTCGTTGACTCAAAAGCATTTTATAAATCTTTATTTCTCTAGAAAACTCGAACTCAGACGCTTTCACACTGCTTTCACTCATTCTAATTGTTTGCATATTCAGCTATTAAATAAAATAAGCCTCCCTTTTGGGTGACGAGCAGAACAAATGTAAGATGTAAAGGATTCAATTTATTTATCCAACATTTAGTACACAAACCAATACATTAGCGAAAGAATTTTCTCTTTCGTATGTAGTACTTTTGGATATAATAAGAAGATACACAGACTAATAATTAAGCAGGAAAATTTCTTCTCTCTTATATGTAATGCTTTTAGTTATAAAAAAATAATAAACAGACTAATAATTGAGCGGGAAAATTTCCTCTCACACATGTAGTGCTTTTAAGAAGATAAGATAAGCGGACTTATAACTAGATGTAGAATCGCTTTCTCATATGTAATGTTTTTAGGTATAAGATAAGAAGATAAGATAAGCAAACTAATAATTGAGCGGGAGAATTTCCTCTCTCATATGTAGTGTTTTTAAATATAAGAAGATAAGGGGACTAATAATTGAGCTTTATAATTTTCTCTCTCATACGTAATATTTTTAGGTATAAGAAAATAAGAGGACTAATAATTGAGGAACAAAATTTTCCTACAAAGCATGAAGAAGATTTTACTTTACTTTTATTTTACTTTGAATAATTGTTGTATAGATTTATACTTTTTGATATTCACTTATTCTACCCCATCTTTGAAATCATGTAAAATTGTAAAAAAACTTATATTTAATCATATCGTGAATAAAATTATATAAACGGACCAACAGTTTTTAATTTGTACTTTGGTTATTACAAACCATCTATCAAAATTATACTTTTTTATTATCTTTCATATGAAATCAATATTTCATATATAAATAAAAATAAATTTACACTTTAAAAAACATATGTTTTTAAAGTGATATAGACAACTTAGAAGGACTTTGTAATGGAACTAGATTGATTGTCTACATGATTGAAAATCATGTCATTGGAGCAAGAATCATGTCTCAGAGCAATAATGGAGATGATATTTACATACATTGAACGTGTATATAAGAAGACAATTTTCTATAATGGTCTCATATGATATGACAATCAACAAATCTCAAGGATAGTGACCGGAGAGAGTTGGATTATACCTGTCTAGACATGTTTTTAGTCATGGACAATTGTATATGGCATTATTGAGAGTTCAGAGCAAACATGAATTGAAAATTTTAATACATGACAAGGATGGAAAAGCATTAGAGACTACTACGAATGTTGTATCAAAAGAGATTTTTTAAAATCTCTAACAAGTAAGTTTAATATTATACTTTTAATATTTATTTTATTAACTTACACTTCATAATATTGACTTATTGTATTCGCTTTTCAGAAAATTGCCAATTTTTTAAAATTAGTTTCCTTTTGT